TGGTCTCAGACGGTGTCTCATTGGATGCTCATCCAAACCCTGAAGGCTGCCACCTACCCCCGTTTTAGAGAAAGGCCCTGAGGCTCAAATTAGTTAATTGATCAAAGGCAGACCCAGACCTAGGGCCCAGGGCTACCTAATACCAGCACCCTTGTGCCGACTTCATGACTTAATGGCCACTGAGAGACAACTGGCCCAGGAGGAGCCGCTCAACTGCGAAAGCGATTAGCAGTAGCCTTTCTAATGGAGCGCGATTCTGGCCCAGGCGATGAGTAAGGGTTATGCTGTGGACTGAATTGTGTTCTCACAATTCTTATGTTAAAGCCCTAACCCCCAATATGATTGGACTTGGAGATAGGGTTTTTAAGAGGTAATTAAGGTTAAATGGGCCCTAATCCAATAGGATTGGTGGCCTTATAACAGAGAGAGAGAGCTCTCTCTGTAGAAATACGCTCACCAAGGAAAGACCATGTGAGCGTGTGGTAAGGTGGTGGCCATCCGCGAACCAGGAGGAAGGTGCTCACCGGGGCCTGACCCCGCTGGCAGGCTTGCAGCCCCCAGAACTGTGGGAAATACATTTCTGTTGTGCAAGCCACCCAGTCTATGGTATTTTGTTATACCAAGCCAACTAAGACAATCTGGTATTGAATCTATGAGCTGCTTCCTTCCACCAAAAATTCCTCCACCTACGATTTCCAGGTACCCACATCTGATCCAGCCTTCTAGGTCCCACCCACCCGCTCAGTGCCGCCTTCCACACACCTGAGTGAGACGTCTCTCCTTCCCATGGGGTCCCCTAGCCCCGTGTCTTCCCCAGGCTCCTTCGTATTATCGTTATCTTTGTCTATACTTCCTCTCCCTGAAAGCTAAAGCATGACCCCTCCCCGGCATGTTGAATCTTCTCTTGTGTGTTGAGGGAAGAGACTTACTTTATTCTCTTTGCGTCCCCATCGTATTAATATGGTACTCGGCACAGGAGGCACTCAGTAAACGTCTGCTAAAGTCAGAGCTCTCTTCTGACGCTCTCGGTGCACCCAACTATATTGCACTTGGTAGGAGACACAAAGCCCAGAGCCATAGGCTAATGGGTGGCCAGGTGTCAGTGGAGGGTGAAGGGTCAGCGTGTCCCCTCCTCCACTCCACACTCCTTTTTATCCCAGCGTCCAGATCCTCCTTGCCCGTCTCTCCACCATGCTGGAGCACCCATTGCCAGCATGCAGTCTTCCTTTTTTAAAAAATTAATTTTTATTTACAATTGACACATAATTGTACATATTTATGGGGTACAGTATGATGTTTCAGTGCGTGAATACATTATATAATGATCAAATTGGGGTAATTACCACATCCATCACTTTAAACATTTGTCATTTCTTTGTGGCAACTCTATTTTTTCTAAAGCCACTATTTCCAGAACCACTGATAGTTCCAAAAAGAGAAGGGAGTAGTCACAGGGTCTGTCTCTCCCTCTCTCCCTTCCCCAACCCCTCACCGAGGACACTAAAGAAAAAAGTGGTGGGTCACCAGGGCATTTGGGCAAAAGATGCCCTTCTTCAGGGGTTGTGGAATTATGTTCACCAGCCTCTGCTTAGAAGACCAAAAGAGGATCTGTGCGCCGTGATCTGCCCAGAGAATGATCAGGAAGGGCTCCAGGGAAGCCTTGAAGGACTTTCTGTGGTGTTCTGTGCAGTCAAGTTATATTTCCATATAATTTTTCTCAAATTCAAAATGTAGGAATCTAACTGTCAGTGAGAAAGAATATATTTACAGCTCCAGCATGCTTGGTCATGTTCTCTTTCTTTATTTGGGTACTTGGTGACACTGTTATATTCACTTTGTCAAAAGTGAGCTATTCACCTAAGGGGGACGGGTAGGTAGCTGTGGGTGGGTGTGTATATGTACATTGTATTTCAATAAAAAGTTTACTCTTTAAAAAATTTGCTACCTTAAAACCCAGAGCAATTGAGCAATTTGTCCAGGGTTACGCAGCTAGTTGGCAAATAAAATAAAGGCAGGAACCCAGATCTCCTACAGCACCTATTTTAGAATCACATCCAAGAACAAGGTTCAATTCCAATGTCTTTGGACCTGAATGTCGCTGGAAATTCCCCTGGAGCCCTACTCTGCATCTGCAGGTGGACATCATATTTGAAAGGCTGTTTCTTACTGTTATTGAGGCCATGCGTGCTCAATAGCTGATGTGCTGTGCTCTCTCTAGCCGATGACTACGGCCGCCCGAGAAATCTACAGCTAGGACACTCCCTCCGGCAGGTTCAGCACTCTGGAAGGAGACTCTGTGGGAAACCCCTTTGTGTTTGTGTTGGCCTGTGCCCCCTGAAAGATGGGGCCAGTGGCCTGGCCAGACTCAGGGTGGTGCATGCCTTAGGACTTAAGGGACATCCCTTTGTCTGGACAAAGCTAACAGACCAACAATTTTTTTTTTTTTTTTTTTTTGAAACTGGGTCTCGCTCTGTTGCCCAGGCTGGAGTGCAGTGGCATCATCATAGCTCACTGCAGCCTCGAACTCCTGGGCTCAAGTGATCCTCCTGCCTCAGCCTCCAGAGTAGCTAGGGCTACAGCACTTATTGACTTAGTTACAGTGCCATAAGGAAGGCAAATAGAGAGAACACCATATTGTAAATCTAAGATATCCCTCAGTTATGCACATTTTGTTTATTCAGCAAGACTCTCATGTCCCATGATGACTCTACTAACTTTCTATAGTTTGAGCAGTCCAAGGTGACATTTTACCGCCTAAGGCCTAGGAGCGAATGGCTGGATGAAATAAAACTGAGCCCTGCCCTCATCCCCTGAGCTGTCAAAAAGCCCTTCAGACAACTCTCTCCTGGTACTCAAGGCTCTGAGCATTAAGGTCAGGCTGTTGGCATTCCCAGCCTCATTTCCCTAACCCAAAGGGAAGTGCTTAGTCTGATTGCAGACTGTTCGCTGTGCTCAGGACATCATGCTACCACCCTTCTGTCACAGACCCACCTGAATTAGCCCATCAAGTCTTAGTGTTACAGATTGGCCCCTTCCTGGACCTCCTGAGCCCATCTCCCCACAGTGTCTGAAACGTGGCTGGAAGGACAGTGTGGGCTAGATGTCCTGTTCTGGCTTACACCCACGCCACTGGTGGGAGGGGGAGGTCTCGCCAGCCTTCAGAGACTCCTTGCCTGTAGCCTGGGTAAGTCTTACCAGGTGGTCCTGTGGGCAGAACTCCTTAGCCCAAGGCAGTCAAGCTGCCTACATCCATCTGCGTCTTCTGCAGTCTAGGCACTTAAAAGTAATGGCCTCTGGCACGTCATCTCGCTGCACTGTTGGTGATCTCTGTAAACAGGCAACAGATAACCAGCTCTGTTCCTCGAGGAGACCAAGAGGTCCTCACCCCAGTGAGGTTTAGGAGTCCAAATGGAGTAAGCTCCGGTTCAGCTGTAGTGCTCCATGCCAATTTACCGGGGACCAGGAGTTGTCTTTGAGCTAACGCTGTGCTTGTGCTAGCCAGACTGGCCGGTTTGGTACCTTTTCATTTAGCAGATCTTCCAATAATAGCATTTTAACAATGAAGTTTCAAAGAAAAAATTTGTTCTTAATTTTTGTCCCAAGAGGGAAAAAAAGACTTCTAATAATGGTATCATCATAAATTCTAAACTGGTGACCATTTGGCTATGTTTCAAAATTTGTAGCTAATAATTAAAATAAAGATTTGTGTAAATGCTTTATCAGTAAAGTAAATGGCAGGGCATATTCTTGTCGGCCAGTGTCAGAGATGGCAGCACATAGCTATGTGGAGGACTGTCACAGTGCGAGTCTTTAAAATTCCTCCTGGATTTGAAGGTATTAACAAGTCCCTATCAACATTCTCTAAAGGTTTTTGATGTCATTTTAGCTATTGAACGAAAATATGTGAACTATTACTTTGTTGATTTTGTTCTTAAACCAAACTGCATTATCATCTGAGAGTGTGTTCTTAAAGTATTGTTAAAAGTACTTTGAAAACTTGTAAATCCCTGTAATTTATGTTTCTCCTGCCTCTGCTGTTTCATTCCGTCCTTCTGGTTTTAATTTGAATGCAGTCCTGTCTGGGTGTGTACCTGTAAAATTGTGTTTTTCCAAGTACAATTTACAGTCTTGACCCTAAGTTTTACAGTGTTCCTAACCTTCTAGGAGCTTCCTCCTGGACCATGAAGTGGGCTTTGGGTCACCCAGCTCTTTCATATTAGAACTGTCTAATCAAAGTTACTTGAAACAGATCTGATTTTGACATTTCTTAGTTTATCATGTAGGCCTCGGGAGTGAATTAGGAGGGCTTCCCTGCAAGCCCATTAATTGCATTGCCCTATTTCTTTAAATGTACACAGTTGTAAACCTAGACTGCTTCAAGACAACAGTCTCATTTATCTAAACAGTTCTCCTTTCAGACTCAGTGGCACTGATGGAAACAAAGATAAGGAGTACGGATGGAGGAAGGATCTTTTGGAGCCTGAACTTGCTGAAACTGTCCCACACCTCTTACAATTCCCTTTTGTTTCCAGGGCTTGCCCACACACCCAATTGATCTGCATTCGGTATGTTCTGAGAGCCAGGTTAAGGGAGGACCGCGGTGGACAGGGCCGTAGGAGAGAGCATCTTACTTCCTGTGGGCGAGCTCCTTGCAGGCTTAGGGAACGTGACTGCCCTGCCTCGAGGGGGGCAGGAGCGCGTTGTCAGAGCGGTGCCTACTCTGAGGCCGCCTCACAGGCCTCTCCAGGCAGCCGCACCCTTCGCCTGGGTTACAGTAAGTTCTGAATGGCTGCAGAGCTTGCGGAATCTTTTCCTTAAGTTGAGGAATGAGATTCTGTTACTGTCCGCTTTTTCACGTGTCACCGAATCAAGCTCTGGTGAGAAGTTAGGAGTCTTGTCCGCAGGCTCCTTCTCCCTCGGCAGGTGCTCCAGGCTTCCCCCGGCCTGCGCGGGGCGGGCGGGCGGGCTCTGGCGGCTGACCTGCCTCCTCCTCGCTCCAGGTGATCGTGCAGTCCGGCCGCCACCCCACCGTGCTGCAGAAGCTCTGCCAGCTGCCCTTCCAGTATTTCAGTGACCCGCGGCTGATCAAAGTACTGTTCCCTTCGCTAATCGCTGCTTGTTACAACAACCGTCAGAACAAGATCATTCTGGAGCAAGAGATGAGCTGTGTTTTACTGGCCACTTTCATCCAGGTACCTTCTACTTTATGCCTAATTCTCTGGCTGCGTGTAAACTAATGCGCCTGAAAAGGACAAGTGACCCAGCTGTTTATTTTCGCCTTCCACACTACCTTTTAAACACTTGACATATTTCTGTGCTTAAGAATTAATTTCCAGAATATCAGGATAGTTTCTAAAATATCATCGATAGAACTGGGGTTGAGTGTTGAATAATTTTTACTTGGAAGATTTCCAAGAAAGGATATTTTTCCAGTTAGTGAAATGGTAACCTGCGGTCGGGAAATGTTTTTAAAAGACAGCCGGACTTCTTTGCAGCTTTGACTGTATGTTTGTCCTACTGGTAGTGTAGCTATAGGAAATAGATAATAATTGCTGAAGAAAGATGAATTAAAACCAGTTTATTTGTAAATTTTTAAATAAATATGATTCTTATATATATGTACATGTGTGTAAAATTCATTTATATTGCTTTTTTTAAAAATCTAAAACTTTTAAGTACAGCCTTATATTTTTCTGCTCCAGTTAAATTCTGTAGGACTAGAATCAGAATCGGTGCCATAGCAAAGTAATATTTCCACATCTAAATTAACTCAGTCAACTGACAATAGAAAAATCAAGTCGACTATTTTTTAACATTTACTAATGACTAATCATGTGACTTTTTTCCTGTTGACATTGTAGATCATTATTTGCTGAAAATCTCCCATTTTCTCTCAAATGTTCCACCATAAAATCAATGTTTTTCTGCTCTATGACACACAATGTGATTAGTACATGATGCTTTCTGGTCTTCTTAATAATGTATTAGTGTTGTTCCGCATTCTGGCTAATATATTTAATACATCTATCACTGTCAAAAGGGTAGGATGGCTCGAGTTCCCCAAGCCTTCTTCACCTTAGATGATAATTAGTTTACATTTTCTAAACTATCCTCTATTAGATAATTAATAAACACAACTAGAGCAATCATGTTTAGAAAAGTTTTATTTTCAGCTTAATTGTTCTGTTTGAGTCTGGGTTCCATTTTCTGGAAAATTTTTCAAGTCAGATATTCAGATCTACAAGTATGGATTTTGAAAAACTGTCTTATAGTTAAATTAAAATGCTAATAAAGTCTTACAGCATATAACCATCATATCAACACTTAGGGTTCTTCATATATTCTTAGAGCCTTAGGATTAAATTAAATAGAAAATACATTATGGATCATTTTAAGACAATCTTTTTAAATTCCCATTACTCATTCTTTTATTCAGCAGGTAGTATCTGAATGTGTAAGGTATGCTGGGCTCTGCTCTAGGCACTGGGAATACAGCAATGCATAAAACAGATAAAAATTCCTGCCTTCGCAGATCTTTCATTAAAATGGGGAGGAGTCAAACAAACAAAAATTAGTAAAACAAATAGCATGTCAGATGGTGGTAAGTGCTGTGCAGAAAAGCAAAGTGGGAAGCAGCCCAGGCCTGCAGGGAGATGGTGCACAGCTTTTTATGGCCTGAGCAGGGAGGCCTCAACAAAGACAGTGATACCTGAGCAAAAACAATTTTATATCTGTACCAACTTAGTTCCTTAAGTTTTCAACTGCTTATAAAACAATTTATAAAGATACAAATGATATCATAATCTAAAATAAGGATTTATTATTTTAAAAATCCACATTTAACACAAATTTTGTAAATGCTACAGAAATTTATTATGTTGCTTATTTGGGATAGCACGTTAGACTAGTAGAGTGAAATCAAGTTTTTTTCTATAAATAATTGTGCTCAAGGGAATGAATATACATTGGACTTTAGTTTATAAAATGGTTCTTTTCAGGCTGGGCAAGGTGGCTCATGCTTGTAATCCTAGTACTTTGGGAGGCCGAGGTGGGAGGATCACTTGAGCCCAGGAGTTTGAGACCAGCCTAGGCAATGACAAGACTCCATCTCTACAAAAAATTTTTAAAAAATTAGCTGAGTGTGGTGGCGCACACCTGTAGTCCCAGCTACTGGGGAAGCTGAGGCAGGAGGATCACTTGAGCCCAGGAGTTTGAGGTTGCTGTGAGGTATAATGACGTCACTGCACGCTACCCCCGGCAACAGAGCAAGACCCTGTCTCAAAAAAAAAAAAAAAAAGGAGCTGATGGTTTATCATAGGTTTCTGAAGATTTATATATTATATACTACATTTTTCACTTTCAATCTAAAAGTAAAATCACCAGACTTTAAGACTTAGGTACAGTACATAAGGGCTTTTATATTTGTACTTTTTAAAATGTTAAATATCTGTTCATATTTTACAATAGTAAATTTAGCTTAAAATTTTAGTTTATTAGATATAAAATAAAGTTGTAATTTCCATAGCAGGCAGCAACCTGGCCCCTGGTGATATTTAGCAAAATTTAAGTCATCACTATTTGGTTTAAATGTATAGGAACCCTGATTACATAACATCAGTTTCTTCAGCTTTTATATTTGGGCTCCAAATTATTCATGCAAAAGTGATTGCATGAATCAGAAGTGTATTTAAAGCCACCTTTAGTGAAATTCTTTGTTCATATCATTGGTATAAAAACACTTTTCTCTTCTCACATAGGATTTTGCACAGACTCCAGGTCAGGCAGATAACCAGTCTTACCAGCTCAAAGGTATGTCTCTATTGAAATTGTTTCATGTGTTTGTTAGCCAAATGGACATATTTCCCATCCTTTCCTCTGGAACTTTTAGAGAAATCAATTTAGTACATCACCTAAAATATTTCAGAGTCAGAGACCAAGTATACTTCAGTAAGTAAACTGATTTTGTCATGAAGCATTAGTATGTTAGAATATACAGAGAAATCTATAAAAAAGAAAAGGACAAAACATCTTTGTGTAATTATTCTCACCTCATGCAAGATAAATTAAATGGTGAATACAAAAGAACTACTTTGTAATACAGGAGACAATCAGATTATGAATATTGGCCTACATTACATAAAGGCTGAAATCACATGGGTTTGGTTCCTTATCCATGTTCAGAATAGTTATCAATGATAGTAGCCCATATGTTCCCCCTAAATTCAAATACTTGAACTTTTTTATTCAAAATACTTGTTTTATATGGAGAAAAAGCCATCAAATTAGCAAAGTCCAGAGGCCAAAAGATTTACAAATTTTTTCCGTATAGTGTTCCTGCTGAGTTCTTTCCTGTGATCAGAATTGGAGATTTAGAATTTTAAACTGCATTTTTACTTTTATAAATATTCTGCTACCCAGACTGTAATTGAGAAGTACATGTTGCTCTTTGTCTGGCTATTGTGACAGCATCCCTGATTAATGAGACCCTAATCCAGATTTTCCCCAATTTTTCCATCAGTTTGATAGTCTTTAAAGTGGCCATTCAGAGGCCCACTCCCAGCAGAACCCTTTGGGACACCAACCAAGAAGCCCTTATTTGGAAGGGGGCTTACACTGGACTCTCTCTTTCTCTCTCTCTCTCTCACACACACACACACACACACACACACACACACACACACACACACACACGAGTCATCTATAGTGGGCAGGCAGATGTTGAAAAGTACATAGAAGAAAATATAACTAAAGCTGTTACAATATCATGAAAAAAAATGTCATGTTTTATTGACTCAAGCACTCAGAAAAGTAAACAGAAAGCTATGCAGCTTTCCAGAAACTCAAGCGAACAGCACAGTCAGTACCGTGCGCCTAAGCCAGAATTAGTGTGCAAGTTCAGCTCTGCCCTGCCTCAGTCACAGCCCTATTTGTTCCTTAAAGCTGTTGGCGGATACTTGGGAGAAATCAGCATAATGTGTTACTATTTCTTACAAAAGAAAAAATCTTTAAAGTTTTGGATACATGAAAATACTTAGAAAAATCTTCTAATGTATTTATTTTTTAATCGTACAGCACTGTGGTTTTTGTTTTTGGAGGTTTTTTTTGCCAGTAAGAAGTACATTCTTTCTTCTGACTCTTTCTCCTGACTACAAATATGAGTCACCATTTGCTGCACACCTGGAAGACAGTCTCAGGAGCTGCCCATCCGCCTGGTGGGCTGAGGCCCGTGGAAGTCCCAGCCTTCTTTCTCTCCCAAGGGACCATCCTCTCTGATTTTCATGCTGTCCCAGTTACAGGCTCACACCACAGAATAGCAAATGGGGAGATGGTCTGCTTTGCTCAGAAAGGGTCATCACTATGTTAGCGACAGTTCATAACATGCTTACTTTTTGTTTTAAATGACGATGCCTCACTAAGTTGCCAGTTTGCACCTTGGACATCTGTTCCCCTTTTGCTTAGATGAAGCCATCATAAAATGTCTCAAGACATTTTTAGTTCATTGCTCAGGTAAACCTCTAAGTATAAAAGTGGCTCCTGGTAGCACCACATTCTTAGTGCTCAGGAGGAATCTGGGTTTTCAGACACCCACTACTGGCTGTCCAGCTGTGAGCTTGTCGCTTCACCTTTAACACCAGATGGGTAAGCTAATCGTTCCCTCTGCTTTGTCAGACAGGCAACTGAATGCCACATTGGAACAACTGTAAAGCTAAATGAAATTCATGCTTTCAATTAAATAGACTATTTCAGAAAACAAATATCATTTGTTGATGATGACAACAAATGTCACAGCTAACATGGCTAACTTAAGGATAGAATATGTGACTGTTATTTTATTTTGTTCACCGTGTATTTTTTTTTTAAGAGATGGAGTCTCGCTCTGTTGCCCAGGCTGGAGTGCAGTGGCCGTTCACAGCTCACCGCGGCCCTGAACTCCTGGGCTCAAGCCATCCTCCTGCCTCAGTCTCCCGAGCAGCTGGGACTACAGGCGAAAGCCACTATGCTGGCTTCTGCTTATTTTCTTATTCTGGGGTCCAAAAACAACTTTTTTTCATAATGTTTTATGTAGGGGTTAATGTCTGAATATGTTAGAAGCACAAACTGGATTGTGGTTTGAATATGTATTTTATACTATCGATAGATCAATATACATATATCACCTTATTTACCTAAAATGTGGCATGGTTTATTTGAAGTATATATATCTCCATTTTGTACTCAGATATTAAAATAAATTTCTTAAACTTCAATGAAAGATTTTAATTCTTTTAAACTTTTTTCTCCTTTTTTTTTTCCTCTCAGGGAAATGTCCTGGTTCCCAAGACTATCTTGAGCTGGCCAACAGATTTCCTCAGGAGGCCTGGGAAGAAGCGCGACAGTTTTTCTTAAAAAAAGAGAAAAAATAAATGTTTTGGTTGATTCTGTATTTGAGTACCCTTGTTAATATCTTAAATTCTTCAAAAAAAATGTTCTAATTGTTCCTTAAGAAACTCATTTTCACGTTTATACTCCCCCTGCACTGTAGATACGGTACATACTTTGCACTATTTATAATGACTGTAGATACTTCAATGTTCCACTTTCTAATTTTGCAAGTTGCGTTTATTTCATTTATGCACAATATCTTGGAGTTTGATAACTTCCATCCTGTGGTAATATATACTTTGCATTTGTAATATGGGTGAAATCAGAGATACAAAATTAGCAAGTCTGTTTTGTTCTTGTAATAAAATAACTTATCCTGTTTTCAGTGTTGACTTTTCATGTTAAGGCAATATAAATCTGAAAGAAAAATGTTAATCCCAACTCCTGAAATATCTTAATTAAAGACTGAATTAAAGTTTACCTGCTCCAAATTTCCCTTTTTAAGGTTTGGAGTAAAGATGTTTACACACTTTCCATTCTCGCCGCACCCTGTGTTTCGGGACTATCTGAAATGCGTGTAGAGCGTGTAGACGTCGGTCTGCTGAGCTTCCCCAGCAGACGACCCTGAGGACCCCCGTTCGCGCTGCAGAGCTGAAATCATCCCCCGGAACACAGATGAGTTATCTAAAAAATCAGAGTGAATCAACCCAGAGTATTTCCTCAAATAATTGTGAAATGAAGCAACGCAGAGGGAGGCTGAACAGAAGGTTCAGGGCTCTGAGTAGAGCTCTAGGCCGCTCCCGTGCAGCTCCCCGGCGCCTGCGGGTGTGACTGCTCCCCACCGCGTCCGCTCGTTGCCCCACCGCAGCGGGGGTCGGCGCTGAGCCGGGCGGGGAGTGACGTCAGTAATCGTCCCTGTCAGATACGGATCCAACATTACCAAGGAAAAAGATCTGGTTGGACAAAAACGGTCTGATAACGTGTTAGACTCAAGGCTATTGGAGGGGGAGGACTGGAAAACACGGAAGTTTTGCCTGTTTTTTAAAAGCAAACTTACCTAACGTTCAGGACACTTCTTTCTGGAGCCTCACAGAGTATATGTTGATTTTTATTTCTTTGCAAATCGAGAGAAAATAAAAAGATCCTCTTAAAAAACAAGGCGAACTCCCCGAGCGCCCGACGTCTTCCCGCCCCGCCCCGAGCGCCCGGCTCCGGGGCGCGGGGTCTCGGGCGGAAAAGGATCCGCGGGCCTCGGCAGGATTCCCTGCGAGGCGCCTCACAGCGGAGCACACTTCTCACCTGGCGGGAGATTCGCCAAAAAGCCGCCAATGGTTGGGACAGCTGTGATCAGCCTCCCGGAAGCCACGCCCGGATTCGCGATCAAACGTCTACGCGAACAGTCCGCTGCCCCCGGCCCGGGCCCCGCGACTTCCGCGCTCGGGGTGGGGACAGCGCAGCGCCCAGGTGCGGGACCCGGCGCATCCGCGCCCTGCCAGGCTCGGGCCGCGGGAGGACCGCGCGGGGCGACGCGACGGCCCCCTCCGGGCGCAGTCCGTGGAGCTGGCGGTGCGACTGGCGCCGCCGGAGAAAAAGCAACCATTCTGCCCGGTTTAGAGCCCAGAATTGGAGTCGAACGGGGAAGAACTGCGAGGACCGGGAGCGAGGGCGCGGGTGGGCGCGAGGCCGTAGCCCCGGGAATTCCCTGCACCAGGCGCTCTCCGGGCCGCGCCCCCGCCGCCCAGCAGGACGTCCGAGCCCGGGTCCGAGGCTCGCCCGCCCTCCGCACTCCGGCTGCGGCGGGGCTGTGGCCTCGAACCCTGAACCTGGCCCCCGAGCCCAGGTCTGGGCCTCGGCCTCCCTAACACCGCTTCCCGCCTTCCCCGGCGCAGCTGGGAGCCCACCTGGGTCATCTCTTCCCGGGCTCCTAGCCACGCTCTCGGAAGTCTCGAGAACCTGGGAAGAAATTCCTCCTCACCGTCCCTACTCTTCCGCTCCCCTCCCCGCGCCCCTCCGCACCCCGCGCCCAAACCCCGATCTCCAGTGCTCTGCGCTCAGACCACGCCGAAGCGAAACGCCCGTTCCCAGTGGGGAAGCGCTCGGCCCTCCGCGCTCCTGCCCGCGCCTGGGCTCGCTCAGAGCCGCCCTCCTGCCGGCTGCCCCGCTCCACCCAGCGGCACCGAGACCCGGGCCGAGGGCTGGGCTCAGCCAGGACTCCCGCCGCCCCGGCGAGACTGCTGCTGGGGCCCGCAACGTGCTTTTACATGGAGCCACCCCCTACCCCGCTCTGCGTCTGCATCCCGACAGTATTTATTTCCTTGGGCCCTTTCTAGCGCTCGTTACCACCCCGACCTGGCTCTGTTTATCCGCGTCCTCCACGCACAGTCTCCATCGACCAGGTGCTGGTCTATGATTGGTCACACAATCCCCATTATTGCACTGAATCCTAGTATTTGCCACAAAGTTTACTTTCACATCAATCAGACTCATTTAAAAGCCTCTAATCTAACTCACGTCAGCTTAATAAACTCTCTGAATTTCCTGCTTTTATCACAATTCCATTGGGAACTTTTCTGCAAATTTTTCCGTCTATCGTTTCTTCCCTCCAGTGTGCTGCCATTCCGCTAGTTCTCTGGCCCTCTCTGGTGAGCACTCGTGAGGAAGCACAGCTAACTAAGTGTGGCCGTCCATGCCCTCCCCTAAGCAGCTGCAGCAGAATCTCAAATTTTCTACGGAACAATCTTAGACAATGTCTCATTTAAACCCCGTATTTGCAACTCTGACAAAATTGAACTTTAAGTTATTCCATATGCAAAACAGAAAGGCTGATTTCTGTTCCACAGCCCATTAAATATTAAAGTTTGTTGGGAATACTGCCACAGGGACTCTGAATTTCCCAGAATTATGCAGTCTTTCAATAGGGATTAAATTGTGTGGTGTAACAGCCTGGGAAGCCCTTTCCTGCCTCAGTTACACAGAGCTATCCAAATTATTAGCTATGTCTTCTGAGAAATTCTTATTCTAAAGTGAATCCAGCTAAATAGCTAATGCCCATTTTCCCTCTATGACAATTCATCTTTTATTGAACTGAGTTTTTACTACACAACTGGGTATCTCATGTTAAAAGTTCAGTAAGCATAAAATACAACACTTGTGATTGCTCAGGTAATTTAATTTACAGGAAAATCCCTACTGTATTACAGAAGATGTTTAAAGATGATGTGGGAACCAGTAAAACTGATATTTATTAATGTAACTAACCAACTATAGATCTGACACCTCACTAGGGACCATTGTAATAAGGCTTCAGAGTTAAACCCTTTCCCTTGGAAACTCATAGAAACCCACCCTTTGGGTGGCTGGCAACTACAGGACAGAAAAGCTTGTAATATTTTATACATTAATACAGAGAGATGCAGGCATCTTAACACACAATAACCACTTTTATGTGGGTAATTTCCCAATATTAAAAAAGATACATACACATAGGCTGGTCGCGGTGGCTCACGCCTGTAATCCTAGCACTCTGGGAGGCCGAGGCGGGAGGATTGTCTGAGCTCAGGAGTTCGAAACCAGCCTGAGCAAGAGCGAGACCCAGTCTCTACTAAAATTAGAAAGAAATTAATTGGACAACTAAAAATATATAGAAAAAAATTAGCCGGGCATGGTGGCGCACGCCTGTAGTCCCAGCTACTCGGGAGACTGAGGCAGGAGGATCGCTTGAGCCCAGGAGTTTGAGGTTGCCGTGAGCTAGGCTGATGCCAAGGCACTCTAGCCCGGGCAACACGGTGAGACTCTGTCTCAAAAAAAAAAAAAAAAAAAAAGGTACATACACATAAATATCCAAAAAAGGAATTAGATTTTTGATCTATGGATAATGAGGGAAGACATAACTAATTAGAAAGGTAGATGTTTCCATCCTAGCATAAAAATACTGCAGTCTGTCAAAAGCAAAAATTCAGAGCTAATTAACAACCATTAATGAAATTCTTTATTCAAGAACCCGGTATTTCCCTTTTAATAAAAAAACGAGAAAACTGAATATTCCGGATAAATCAAAAGTTTTTGAAAGTAAGATTTATTAGTTTAGTCCTCTGTCCAACGGTCAGCCAAGAGGGTAAAAGAGAAATCTGTATTTCTGTTTGGAACGGAATGGTCTAAGTTACGGGAATGAAGCCTCAAAGAACCCAGACCTGATTGCTAAAGCCGTTTCTGGGCACTTGAGAGGTAAAGCTGGTCCTCATTAACCCTGCGTATCTCTTCCCTTATCTCCGAGTTTGCAGCACCGTTTCCTAAATCTTCAAGAAAAGGAATGTTCCCTTTAATATCTGTGCTAGCATCACCCTAACTTTCAGGAAGTAAAACATAAACGGGGCTCAACTTTCCCACCTCCTCCCGTTTTCTTCCAATAATTGCCAGCGAGCCTTCCACCGCGACCCGGGGCGGGTGCAGGGCGCTGCGGCGGGCTCGCTGGTCACCCCGCGGCCTGGGCCGCGCGCGCAGCCCGGCTCCCAACAGCGGCACCGTCCTCCGCCCAGCGGCTGCCGCTGCCCCTCGGACTCGTTTTCCTTAACAGCCTCTACCTAGGCTGAGACAGCAGCCATCCCCCGCCCAGGTAGCGCGCTGCCCTCTTTCAGAATAAACCCTGGACAAAGGATACGCTGCGGGTCATTTAAGTCGAGGGACGAGGACACGGCACCTCGACGCCGGAGGCTCTTCCGGCAGTGGCGGGCGGCCTGTCGTCCGGTGGCTTTCGCGTCCACCAAGCGAGGGCTGGTCTGGAAAAGGACCCTCCCAGGCCGCCAAAGGGTTAAATGTCTGCGAAGGGTAAACCCGAGCCTCCCGCGTCTCGCGCTGCCCGGGGCCTGCTGCGATTCCGTGTCTCTCGGTTATTTCCTGCGAGCGCTAAAGCCAGTTCTCAAGAAAACAAGTCGAGGGGTTTGAAATGTCACACCAGGTGACCTGGGCAGGGCACATCCAGGGGCCATGGGCGGCCCCTCCCGCCGGCCGCCCCCGCCCCGCAGCTCGGGTCTGGAAAGAAAATAAACCGAGGACACGCCAGAC